GTTTTAATGCTGAAACTTTGCCACTAAAGTCCCTGGCCAAGCACTGTTCCAGAAAAACAGTACCAACTTTCAAACATGTCTGGACATGTGAAAGCTTTCGCGGGAAAACTGTTAACTCTGGAATTAAAATAGCTAAGTCATTTTTAATGAAAAACCGGTCAACGGAAATCATTCATTTTTCTCCGGCGACTTGCGATAATGAATGCAAAGTTAAATGTAAAGCAACAAACATTCATAAAGTGTCGGCCTGACTACTTCAGTTTTAGCACAAAAAGGCATGTTCGCACTGGTAAGACTGGTTCATTGCAGCCAGAATTTTCTATACAATAGAGTCCAAAGCTATGATGAATGATTAACACAGTTAAGTAAAGTTAAAATGTGTTAAGTCGAGGATACGTAACTATACCGGTGGTATCAGCTTATTCGGAGTTTCAGCACGAAGTGCTAAATTGACTGGAGAGCAATTTTATCCATTTTCATGCTGACAGCAGTGCCGAGACCTCGTTTGTTTAAGTAGGTGTCCTGATTTTCGTTCAAATTTCCAACTCAGAAAACCAAAACCTAGGAGTCTGAAGCATTCAGAAGATGTTTCACGTCTTTATGCGACATCAAAAGTTTTGAACATAGTTCCCTTGTATTCCTACATTTCATGCATGAACAAGTGGAAGTTTAGGTGGGAAATTTCCCAGGTCCGCAAGACAGAAAACTGGAATTTTACGGCTTTTTGGGTCCATGTGCAGCTTCGAAAATTTAAATACAGCTTTTGCTTGCGTTTACATTTCATGTACATACATGTGGAATAACTTCGACTGGAATTATTTTTTGTTCAGAAAAAATACATTTCGGCAATTTCTGCAAGCGTCATTAACAGGCGCCTGTTGGGCGGGACTGCTCAAACCACACAGTCACATAAGCCGCTCTGGCGTGCGCCGCCATTTGTATGATTTCATTCAGTTGGTTCCTTGTGGTCATCTTCTTGCCACCCGTGTAGCCAGAATCTTGTATATTCTGCCCTCTTCTGACCTCGTCTCATCTCACAGATGTATGTGTTCGTGTAGTTCCTTTCATTTCTTTTAGGAGTTTTCAGTTTCCTTTTAAAACCAAGTTTTGACGATCTCTTTTCTTTGATTCACAACATGGTCGGCCCAAAATTTCAAGTGCTTGGCAGTTGGTTATCACGTATTACTGAGTGGTACCCGAGAAAATAAACAACCTCTTAGATGTCCTCAGTATGTGACGCTTGCACATCGAACAGATGTTATCCACTAGTTGGAGCTGCGCAGCTCTGGATCGTAAGGCCAGGCATAGCTACTAAACCTGCCATGCAAAATCATACAAGCAATAAACGTAAGTTAGAACGGATCCCCACACTGAATGACTTCTTTCTGCAGGGGCTCACGGAAAGCACGCGTTCCGGTCGAGAGAGCTCGACATGTGGAAGAAATGGTTCCACCACCTTCCGCAGTGTCCGCTTTGGCCGAGGCTGTACCCCAGCGCATCACGATCGTATCGAAGAAGCCGCATATTGTTCCGTACGTGATTGACCAGGGAGAAATCGGTGTATCTTTTCAAAGATTCACTGACAAAAAAGATGACCTGAAATAGTTTTCGTAATTGCTTTGTAAAAAGTGGGTTGTTCCTCGACACGCTCAAAATAAGTACTAAAGATAAGGCACTAGAAAGCCGTCTGAAGGTGTTATACCCACTGTCCTGCTATTGTAGTGAGCTTGTTCACCAGCTGGGCATTCGCGTGTGCCTCTGGTGTGCACTGATCATTCACTTACATGGATTTTTATATTGTTTTTATTTGCAAATGTTGAAAAAAAAATAGTAATTACTTTTCAGCATGCCGGGTTCAACCGCTGCAGGGACGATTATTCATTTATTATGCGCATTCACACGGCACGGTCACATCTACTGTCTGTCTATTCGATGATACAATTTAGCGCCACAGATGACGAGCAGTAACCGTGAGAAAATGGTGTTTGTGACTGTGCGATGCCATGTAGCAATTTTTTTTCGGCTGAATTTGAACTAGCACAACTCGGGATGGGTTGTAGTTATGTAGTCCGAATTTTTGGCCCTCAAAAGATTTCTACTGCATCTTGACTAATTTACCGAACCCAAGCAACATTGGTCATGTAATTTCACGACGAAGCGAGTTAAATCCCCGCACCCCATGTTTATTTTTATGCTTTTTTGCATAATATGCAAATGCGAAAACGCATATTGCGACGACCCCGGTGTGTGT